TGCGCTTTATGAATATAACCTCTATCATGTTATTTCAAAAGGCACTTACTTAACCGTGTTTGCTTCAATCACGAAAGGTTCCTCTTAACCTCACATTCCATGTGCTGAGCTCTCACTCTTAAAAGGGCATTTTCCTTCGTGTATCTAAAGCCATCTGAACTCCATCCTGTATGGTTCATGCCCCAGCACTTAGTCGCTCCATATTGATTGTGGGTTAAGTTAACCCAGTGCTGCCTTCTTTGATCATTCAGCTCACCCTTTCCTAAACTGCAGAATCTTCTCACGCTCTGATGGAACGGTTGTTCCCAGACCTGTCCTGGTTCACGTGTGTGTACAAATCCAGCTGTTACTCTGAGAAGAAGTTTATAAACCTACAGCGTCAATCACTACAACTGTGTTCTGCCAACCCTCTGTCTCATCCTTTTCCTAGATCATCTGTCTGTAGTAGGGGTTTGAGCATCCCAGCCTTTTGAACATCTGACCTCAAGGAGAGGACAGTGACTCCATTCCAGACTATATGATGTAGTAGAAATAGCAATAGGAAAGCCCCTTCTCTCAGAAGGAAAAGATCCACTGATTTTTCAGGCTCTATTCCCTGTGGAATATCCAAACTAATGTAGGTACAGATTGTAGATTAGAAATAAAGAGGGGAGAATAGGTAAAGTATAATTAGGAGAGGTGCATTAAGGGATAAAATACTAGTACAAAGTTGGGATAAAAGGGGAGTGAGAATAAACACAAATATTACAGTGATTCCCAAAACATGAGTGTGATGGGGCACACAGACACTGCACTCAGGATGGGGGCAGGCACATGCTCTGGGGCAAGCTGGCCCTGTCGTCCCCCCCCCCCGGTGCTGCTGCGCATGCTCCCGCCGCACCGGCAGATTTAAACGCTGGGTGGGGCAGAAGTTGGGGAGGAAGGAAGGAGCAGAGCTCCGCCAGCGCCAGCAAAAGAAATGCTAATGTGAGCTTCCAGGCTGCCCTTCCCCTGAGGAAGGAAGGAGCAGAGCTCCGCCAGCGCCAGCGAAAGAGATGCTAATGTCAGCTTCCAGGCTGCCCCTCCCCGACCCCAGATGCCAGAGCTTGAGTTGGCTGCCAGCCTGCTGTCTCAGGCTGGAAAAGAGGAGACTAAGGGAGGCTATGATAGAAGTATATACAATTATGAGTGGTGTGGAGAAAGTGAATGAGGAAAAGTTATTTACTTGTTCCCATGATATAAGAACTAGGGGCCACCAAATGAAACTAATGGGTAGCAGGTTTAAAACAAATAAAAGGAAGTTGTTCTTCACACATCTCATAGTCAATCTGTGGAACTCCTTGCCTGAGGAGGTTGTGAAGGCTAGGACTATAACAGGGTTTAAAAGAGAACTAGATAAATTCATGGAGGTTAAGTCCATAAATGGCGATTAGCCAGTATGGGTAAGGAATGGTGTCCCTAGCTTCTGCTTGTCAGAGGATGGAGGTGGATGGCAGGAGAGAGATCGCTTGATCATTACCTGTTCAATTCACTCCCTCTGGGACACCTGGCATTGGTCACTGTCAGCAGACAGGATACTGGGCTGGATGGACCTTTGGTCTGACCCAGTGTGGCCATTCTTATGTTCTTATCTTCTCCCTGACTGTCCCTACCGGGACTCAGAGTTGTCCCAGCGGCCAAGCATGGTTCCTGACTTGAGCCAGAAACTTAAAGACACCCCACTGGGCTGGGAGACTTGCCCAATCACGAACACTTCCAGGATTTGGGACTGGGGATTGCCCTGGTCAGAATCTGCAGCCCTCACCGAGGGGTTACTCCTCCCGGACCGAGTACTGGGCCCAGAGACAGCAGAGGACCTGTCCCTGAAGCCAGAGTCAACAACTGTGATGGCGACTGCAACCTCTTTGGGGTGGGACACCTAACTCTCCCTGAGCTGGATCTGGCAGCCACGGGATGAACCTCAGCCTCAGTGGGTGCCATGCCCTCAGCCCCCAAGCCTGCAAAGGAGGAACTGGCTTCAGGACAATGAAGGGTAGGCTGCTGGTGTTGGCAGGAAGTGGCCTGGTATGGGAGGATTATCCCAAGAAGTTAGTAGGTTTCGGTGTCCTCCCCCGCCAGCCAGGTATTGGAGGAACTCCCTACACTTAAGGCCCCGGAGCAGAACCTGATGGAGTGGGTGGGCCCAGGTCCCCCTACCTTCCACTGGGGGCCAAAAGGCATGCGTACCCTGCCTGGAGGGCTGTATTGACGTGACTTGCAAATGGACCCCTCTTTCGTTCAAGGGCCAGATTTTGGGACCCTAGTCATAAGACCATATATCTCTACCTTGTTTGTTACACAGAACTAAAACACAAAACTTGGGGTTGTAGATCTGGTACCATCTCCCCGGAGTGGGAAAGAGAAGCTGAAGAACACGGAACAACCATAGGCATCCAAGGAAGGAGCAGCCACCTGAAGGAGTAGGTGATCTAGGGGTTATAGTGGACCACAAGTTGAATATGAGTCAGCAGTGTGATGCTGCTGCAAAGAAAGCAAACGTGATTCTGGGATGCATTAACAGGTGTATAGGTTGGACATTAGGAAAAAGTTCCTAACTGTCAGGGTGGTCAAACACTGCAATAAATTGCCCAGGGAGATTGTGGAATCTCCATCTCTGGAGATAGTTAAGAGCAGGTTAGATAAATGTCTATGGGTATGTCTACACTACCCTCCTAGTTCGAACTAGCGGGGTAATGTAGGCATACCGCACTTGCAAATGAAGCCCGGGATTTGAATTTCCCGGGCTTCATTTGCATAAGCGGGGCGCCGCCATTTTTAAAACCCCACTGGTTTGAACCCCGTGCTACACAGGGCTCGAACTAGGTAGTTCGGACTAGGCTTCCTATTCCGAACTACCTAGTTCGAGCCCCGTGTAGCCGCGCTGCACGGGGTTCGAACCAGCGGGGTTTTAAAAATGGCGGCTCCCCGCTTATGCAAATGAAGCCAGGGAAATTCAAATCCCAGGCTTCATTTGCAAGTGCGGTATGCCTACATTACCCTCCTAGTTTGAACTAGCGGGGTAGTGTAGACATACCCTATCAGGGATGGTCTAGACAGTATTTGGTCCTGCCACGAGGGCAGAGGACTGGACTCGATGACCTCTCGAGGTCCCTTCCAGTCCTAGTATTCTATGATTCTATGACTCTTGCCATCCGCATTGGTGAGGCCCTCCCACTGCAGGGCTAGAGTAAAGTTAGGAGGGCCTCCGCAAGGCTGGGGCTGCAGAGATTTGGACCTCACCAGAGAACCCCCTGGCATGTGGTGGAGAATGAGGGCAACAATCCACCCCGATCTCAGGGTCTGGGGATAGGAATTGAGGCAGGTGTACTCAAATAGAGCGAGGGAGTGCAAGCATTATGGAACCTGCAAAGCTAGTGGAGTGGTTGGCCAAAAATCAATGCCACCAGCAGAAGCAGCAGACCCAGGTGATACAACAGCTGGCAGCGCAACAGCAGGAACAGCAGCGCCAGCTCATTCAAGAACTGGCGGAACAGCAGCAGGCACAGCAAGACTGATGGCTCCAGCAATGAGCTGCAGTGAGTCAACCGGGGACAGGCCTAGGAGCCTCAACACAACTCACCATTCGCCTGACCAAAATGGGACCAGGGGACAAACCCGAGGCCTTTTTGGTGATATTTGAGAAGGTGGCCACCTCAGCCTGATAGCCTGACAATCATTGGGCCACCCTCTTGGCCCCCTATTTAACAGGACCCACACAACTAGCTTATAGGAGTTTAGCCAGCCGTGGCGCCTTGAACTCTCACAAAGTAAAGGAGGCTATCCTGGACCCAACAGGCATTACTCCTGAGACTTATCGACAGTGGTTCCACCACAAATGCTATCTCCCGGGGGTAGCCCAAAGCCCCCAGGAATTGGGGTGGTGGTGGCTTGAGCCAGAGATACGGACAGGGGTTCAGGTAGCAGAGCTGATAATATTAGAACAGTTTCTCCAAATACGGCAGCATCACCCTACCGCCTTGAGTGATGCTGTAACACTGATGGAGGATTACTTGACTGCGGGGGGAGTGAAGAAAAAGGGAAAAGGGGGTAGGGAACCCCCAGTTAAGACTAATAAGGATGCTAAGACCCCACGGCCCCGAGGGTACAAGGACAGGGGAGCCACATTGCCCCTTCGGAAGGAAGAGGTGAGGAAATTGGGGCAACTCAAGACCCATTACCATGGAAGGTCAGGGTGGCTGAGACCCCCCATAAAGGAAGAAGAGGAGCGGGCCTCAAAGGTGGGCCCTACCACTCAGAACATTTGTTATGAGTCCCAGGAGGGAACTTCCACTGTGAATGCCCCTTTTTGGATTGTATCTATAGTCAGATCCTGACTACAGGGGCTCGGGCCAGACCCCGGGACTCAGTGAAGGTGATGACCCAGGTCTCAGTAGAAAGTGCCGAGGTGGTGGCCTTGGTGGGTTCAGGGAGCAGCCAAACCCTGGTTAGGGCTGATCTGGTTCAGCATCCTGAATCGGCCGAGGAGCCAGTATACATGCAGTATATTCATGGAGATTTAAGGTCTATCTGACTGCGTGGGTAAAGATAAAGAATAGCCGTGATGAAGGAATTTATTGGGTAGCCCTGGTCCCCAAATTAGTCTATCCAGTCCTATTAGGGCGCAATTTTACCTGACCCTATGTGAGTGGAGTCAGAAAGCCCCCCCAGGGGCGTGTGGAAAGCCTGCAAGGTGGTCCATTGGAGCCCAGGGACAGGCTAGAGAAAGGGAGACCGAGGTCCCGGCTAGAGGACAATGAGGACTTTTTAAGGGAACCACGCAATGGCCCCACGTTGAGTCAAGCCTGGGAACAGGCGACAGCAGTGGAGGAGACGGAGGAACCGGCACATACCCATCCATAGGGACACCGATTTGAGGTACACTCTGACTGGTTGTATTGGATTGATAAGGCCCCATCAGGATGGGGCAAGCTCCACCAGTTGGTAGTTCCCACTTGCTATAGAAGGAAGGTCTTAGAGTTAGCTCATGCTGACCCCTGGGCCAGCCACCTAGAATGAGAGAAAACCTTACAGCGGATTACACAAAGGTTCTTCTGGCTGGGGTCTATCGGGAAGTATGGGATTTTTGTGATTCTTGCCCCGAGTACCAGAAAGATATTTTGAAGGGGGCACCTAATGCTTCTATGGTGGCGTTGCCGGTGGTGGGAGTGCCTTTTGAGAGGACAGGGATGGACTTGGTAGGGCCTCTGGAAAAATCAAAGATGGGATGTCAATACATCTTCGTGGTGGTAGACTACACCACCAGGTACCTGGAGGTCATGCCCTTGCATAATACTACGGTCCCCACCTTGGCAGCCGAACTTATAAAGATTTTTTCCCAAGTGGGGATCCCCTAGGAGATTTTGACGGATTAAGGGACCAACATTTCATCTAAACTAATGGATGAATTGGCCTTTTAGAGGCAGAGCAGCCATTACATACAAAGCTATCTGGGGTGTTTTCAGGAATGCTCTACAGGTGCAAGATAATCAAATCATATTCTGCAAATAATACCTTTTCCAATGACTCCACATACATGATTTATCCTGCATTATAATGCATTGTAATTATCTCTTAATCCTACCATAAAATTGTCACTAAGAAGAACATAGAGTCTAAGTGTCACAGAGACATCTGTCCCTTATTTAACTAGGCCATTTTGCAAGCTTGGCCTTTCCTAACGAGGCTGTTAATTTCATGACCAGCATGGGCTGCTTTTGCACCATGGTTCTTCTTCTCTGTGACATGAGTGGGCTTTGGAAAGCTAAGATTCAGCTCTTCTCAACCTGAATTTCACCTATTGCAGGCAGCACCAAACTGTGCAGCTTGTGCAGACGTTTTTATTTCAGTTCCCCATTTGGCTGTATCACTGTGATGAGCACCACCAGTTGCTACAAAACAGTAATAGTCAGCCTCGTCCTCTGCCTGCACACCGGTGATGGTCAGGGCAGCGTTACCGGATATGGCCCCAGAGAACCGGGCAGGGATCCCGGAGGGTCTAGTACTTGTCCCATGTATAAGCTGCCGAGGAGCTGATCCAGGTTTCTGCTGGAACCAGCCAGGATAGATGCTGCTGGTGATGGCTCCAGTGCTCTGGCTGCAGGACAGCGTGACGGACCCTCCTGGGGTCACCGACATGGAGGGCTCCTGAGTCACCACAGGCTGTGACCTGACCCCTGAAAGCAACGGAACAAACAAACTCAGCACAAGGACTCCGGCTCCTCACACACAAACCTCCTCACCTGAAGGTGGTCTCCATGTTGTGTCAGTGCAGCCAACAAACCCTCACCTGAGCAGTAAGTGAGCAGGGCGAGGAGCAGGGGAGCCCAGGCCATGGTGGATCCAGATGAACTCGGCTTCCTGAGGCAAATGGGTCGGTGGCTGGGACCCTCCAATTCTCTCTTAAGCCTCCATGCTGGAGAACAGCCCTTTCATGCAAATCTTTTCCCTGCTCGTTAGATGTAAATGTTTTGAAATTCAAATCTTGACTCATATCAGGTACAGTAAGACTCACACATCACATGTAGCCTCAAATTTAGAAAGGTTTTTGAAATAACAGTTTAAAAAATGTACTTTCATAGAAATTGTATAAGTTCAAATTGAAACAGGTTTTTATTTTTATGTATTATAAGTGGTCTTCGTTTACCATTATTCTTGAACAATATTTTATACAACTTGATGATATGATCACACAATTCTCTCTAACTGCTTGTGTCTGGAGCTAGATGTTGGGGAAAATTTTCATTTTTAGTTACAGGGAAGAACATTTTATAAGCTGTGCATGTAACAGAATAAATCTGGGAACTATTTAATCTCTCTGACCAGTGGCTGCTGCCTACAGACCATCTGCATGGGAACAAACATCAGTATTACATGGTGCCAAACATTCCGTAACCACTGTCATTTAGATTATCCCAAGGGATTGAATGGGATAACTGTAGAGCTGAAGCAGAACTCCCTATACCTGGAGCCTCAGGACTTTTTTTAAAGGTGCCAAGTTACACCTTTAGGTTTCTAAAGACCTTTAGAAATCTGTTCCTAAATCTTGTGCCTGGTGGCTATGTTCTATTCTTAGCAGAGGAAGAAGAGTAATCCACACTGAGGCTACGTCTCCCCTGTAGCGCTATTTCGGGTTACATGAGGTATCTTGAAATAGCTATTCTGCCTCTTTGGAGCACACCCATTATTACACAATATGACGGTCTCACTATTCCAATGTCTCTGTAAACCTCATTTCACAAGGAGTAAGGGATGTTTCAGACGAGTGATTTATTTCTAAACTAGTGCTGTGTAGACAGTGCCAAATTTTAAAATAAGCTATTTGGAAATTGACTTGAAATAAGCAAGCTCAAATGGAATAGGTCGAATTGCATAGCTTATTTGAGTTATGGGTGCAGTGTAGACACACCCTGGATGACGGGTAACAGCTGTAACTCCTCCTTGTCGCCTCCTGTTACTTGCTTTTCTATGAACCCCTCATCTGTCTTGCCCCTTGCAGTAAGAGAGAAACCAATTTGGATCATTCTCTTGGAGTCAGACTCACTGGACCACATCCAGTGGGTGGGTGGAAGAGGATATAATGGGCATGTAGGAACATCTAGCCGTACTCTGCTCTGAATTGGGCCATTAGTCTGCAGATGGCCACTGCCAGGCTGTGAGAGGAAGCATCAGTGTATCATTTGGGCAGCACGTCTGTTGTGCTCACCGGTATTGCCTCATTGCTTCCCTCTACTCTCCCACAGGCTGCTCTGTCTCACCTGTTGTCTCTTTTCTTATTCTTAGATTGGAAGCCCCATCGTGTGGCTGGTCTTTGTGTTCTGTGCTTGTACAGACTCAAGCCCACCGGGGCCTGAGCCATGACCTGGGCTCCCATTAACATCATCACTCGCAGGCTCATGCTTTCCGAATGAGGCCTGGGTCCTGTTATTTCAAGACATTGACCCACAATCACTTCATGTGTGAAAGGCTCCTCTCCTGACCTGCTGCCCTCACTCTGCCTTTGACAGGAGATCTGAACTCCACCTTGCATTGTTCATATGCTCACACTCACTGCTCTGTATCGGCCATGGCATCAAGTTAACCCAGGACTGCACAACTTTGGAAGCCCTGGGGGCCACAGAGATACTCTCAGCACATGCTGAGGGCCACAATAGAAGTGTGGTTGAATATACATGCAAATAATATGCAAATATATGCAAATAGCTTTTTTCACATTGACGGGCATGAATACAAAGCCACAATGCCTGTATCCATCTGTTCCAGCCAGCCTGTCGCTTGCGTCTTTCAATGCTCACCCCATCTGGGAGAGGCCTCACCATTGTGGAACATGTTCCCAGTGGAGACAATGTTCAAATGATCCCACCTGTGGGACGCATGTTGAGCCCCCTGTAAACCCAAACTGCACCGTGGGCCACACACAAACAGCCCATGGGCCGCGTGTTTAGTAGCCCTGAGTTAACCCCAGCTTGCCTTCTTTACTTGGCTCAGTCAACAGGCTCACTCCTTCCTCAGGGGCTGATTCTTCTCTCCCTAATGGAACAATTGTATCCAGATGTGTCTGTGTTTACATGTGCATAAAAACCCAGCCATTACACTGAGAAGTGGTTCATAAACCTACAATGTGAGTCATGACATCTGGCTTCCATCCGCCCTGCCCCATCCAGTCTGTCTGCAAGAGGGAGTTGAACCGATGTAGCTCTTTCAGCACCACAGCTTGAAACACGCACCCCTGGACAACAAATGTGTGTTAAACAGATATTGAATTTCACAACCAACAGTTGACAAGTGCAGGGAGACAGCCCCCTCTATGGAACTGAGTCAGAGCTGCATGATAAGTTACAATCCACACGACAGTTCTTTCTCCCATCCCACTGAATTCTCTCCAGTCTGCGGAACTTAAGGAAAGATTCAGTCCAGGTCCCAGCTAAATACATCCCTGGTTGCCATTTGTGAGTACAGCTGCTTGTTGCTGTATCCCTCCAGCTCAGCTCCCGGGCTAAGAATTACATTTGGGGATTTGGCTGGGACTTGGCTATGCCTGTGACTTGTCTGATGTGTATAGAGCAGGACAGAGGGTAGTCAACTGGACTTTACTCCCGGTTGTTTTCAAAGTGAAGGGTTCCCCCAGAGTGTCACAGTGAACTGGGGTTACAACTGAGCCTCTTGACCCACCAGCCTGGGGTTCCTCTCACTCTGTATTGGAGTGACAAGGAATTACTGAGGTTCTTATGCTACATCCATCACATAGGTATCGAACACCAAGACTGGCGCCCTGGGTGTTTGGACACAGGGAAGGCAGCCCCAGGAGGAGCTGTGGCCATGGAGTCACTGATGAACATCTGGAGTGGACTCAGGAAGCTGCAGGGCAGGTGGAATGGGCCAGGAGGTTTTTCAGGAAGAGCAAGGCTGTGGAGACACTTAGTAGAACCTAGGAAGGGAGGAGGGGCCTCATGGCAGATGGGAATTTGCTTCCCCCAGCCAGCTCCTGAGCACCACTGGTGCTGACTGAAAGGGCCCAAAGCACTGGCTGCTGCCTTTGCTGAGTTATTTGCAGCGGTGGCTGAGAGCTCTGAGACCTTTAATCATTGAACCCTGGGGCCGCTGCCCCTTTGACTCCCTTGCCAGTAACCCTAGGGAGGAGGGATTTTTATATCATCTCTTATCTGATCCACCCTGTACCGGGTGCAGAAACAGGGACTCACGAAGCGAACTTGAGTTCTGTTCTCTCAATTCCGGCATGTGCAGGGTGTTGTGCGGCTGGTGGGCTGACGTAGGGGAACTGTGTCAGGCAGGATATGGCTCTTTACCCTAGAAGCAGGTAGCCGGCAGCCATTGCCTCCCCCCTTGAGCCAGGCAGGGGAGGATTTGCAAACATGGAATTGCTAAGGCAGCAAAACCTGCTCTCGTGTGCAGGCCAAGGGAGAGCAAAAGGGCACTTGACCTCTTCCCAGTGGAGAGTGTGTGCATCAGCACGCCCAGCTGCTGTCAAGGGCTAGTGGTTCGAATTCCTAAGGAGAAGCACTTTCAGGCAGGCAGCAACCAAATTGTGCAGCCAGGCAAAGTCCAGTCTGCAGAAAGTGACACAGGAGGTTTTCGTCTCAGTTCCCATCTGGTTGGATCACTGTGATACCAGCTACCACTGCTACCCGTGTACACAGCACAATAATAGTCAGCCTCGTCCTCTGCCTGCACACCGGTGATGGTCAGGGCAGCCTTGTTACCGGATATGGCCCCAGAGAACTGGGCAGGGATCCCGGAGGGTCTGCTATTGGTGTTGTATATAAGCTGCCGAGGAGCTGAGCCGGATTTCTGCTGGTACCAGGAGGGGTAGTTGCCGCTGGTGATGGCTCCAGTGCTCAGGCTGCAGGACAGTGTGACGGCCCCTCCTGGGGTCACCGACATGGAGGGCTCCTGAGTCACCACAGGCTGTGACCTGACCCCTGAAAGCAACGGAACAAACAAACTCAGCACAAGGACTCCGGCTCCTCACACACAAACCTCCTCACCTGCAGGTGGCCTCCATGTTGTGTCAGTGCAGCCAACAACCCCGCACCTGAGCAGTAAGTGAGCAGGGCGAGGAGCAGGGGGGCCCGGGCCATGATGGGAAGTCAGACGAGCTCGGCTTCCTGAGGCAAGTGGGTCTGTGCTGGGACCCTCCAATTCTCTCTTAAACCCCCAGCGCTGGGGAATGGCCCCTTCATGCAAATCTGCTCGCTGCTCACTGGCTTCTGCTGTAGAGTTTTCTGCAGACCCGGGGTTGCCTTTCGCATTCTCTGCCACCCCACCCCTCACACCTCCTGAGCTGAGGG